ATTTTGAATTGATTGTTATTTGCGATTTTTTGCACAAATGTTACAATTATTTGTAGTCATTGGATGTGAAATCCAATAGACGAAGATGTGTCGTAATAATTGGTAAATATTTTATTTTTGAATTTGTGCCCAATTAATGCCACATCCTCAATCACCAGTTTTAAATCTAACGGTCAATGATGATTGTGACATCATCGTCTCAAAAGTAAATGGTCTCATTGTATTCATTTCAAAATTTAAATTAGCTCTTTGGATCCCTATCATTACATCTTTACTACTGTTACTACTTTAACCATGCATTTGCTAGCATCACCATCGCCACCACCACCATGGCTTCGCTACCACCTCCACCAACCACTACCCCAACTACATCGATTATAACCACCACTGATGCTCTACAACCATGAATCCCTACCACATTACCTCCATTAGGATTGTCATCACACCATTAGTATTGGCACCATGATGATGATGATGATCACCATCATCATTATAGCTTTTTTTCAGGGTCGGTTACATGAATCATGGTATGACATCTTGTTCTACTTAGGGTCATACTTTTAGTGATGCCATAAGTTCTTATGTATTTTTCATGACTTCAAACCATATCTTTTTAGGTTTACCCCTTGCATTTTTTTAGCCTTCTATTTGAACTAACTCGCACCTGCTAACAAATGTTGTATTGGGTTTGTGTTGCCCATGGCCAATCTACGTAAATCTACTTTCTCTCATCTTATTGTCTATTGGTGCCATACCTAGATTCTCCCGAATATATTTATTTCAAATACTATCTCTTGTTGTCTTGTCACTCATCCATCTCAACATCCTCATCTCAACCACACTCATTTCTATGAGTATGTTGTTTCTTTACGGCCCAACATTCCACCTCATAAAGCAAAATTGACGGCCCAACATTCCACCTCATAAAGCAAACCTGACGGCCCAACATTCCACCTCATAAAGCAAAACTGGTCTCATAGGTGTCCTGTAAAACTTAATGCAATGATCACATAAAGCTTTAGTTGCACATCTCCACTTCGTCTACCTAGCTTGCACCATACAATAACATATTGCGATTCATAAATAATCAACTACTCATAAACATCGAATGATATGTCGAACCGGTCACCTAAATATTTTCGAGTCAAGCTAGCTGAGTAAGTGACTTGACACAGCCGACTCGAACAACTTCCAAGAAAAACAAACGAAGAAAGTGTTTTTATTTTTATTTTTGCAGGATCGATAAAAGATATGAGATATCAGACTCGGTTCATGCCACCTTGTCTCGAAACTCGGTTTTAAAAAAGGAGCCAAAAAAGGCAATTCGTGTAAAAAAATAAAGAAAGGAAATATTGGCTTTTCTAAGCAATGTCAAATATCAATATGCCATTGTTATAAAGGTAGGGTTTGTATAAGGTTGTCTCCCTATAATATAGCATTAAGGTACACCTCTAAAATTTTCTTAGAGATGTCGTTCCGGTATTGATATCCTGTTTTATAGCAATAAAATTTAAAATTTTAAAAATGGCACAGATCAAACAGATAAATAGATACTTGAAATTCTTGAAAATAGATGGTCAAGATAACTTGTTATATGGTACACTATTTTTTAGACTTAATTTTTTTTTTTTTGTCTCTATTACCATACATCTCGCGGTTGAGATTATCAATTGGAAGGTTTTTCAACGCCATAATACTATCCTTTGTAGGATTTTTGAGGTACACCTTACTTTAATACTATGGAGGTGCCACCTTATATAAACTTTTTCGCTGCACTAAAATATTAAAAATATTGATATTGGCAAAAAAATTCGAACATATAACTTCCAACATTCTTTAAGGGGTGCAGTTGGCATGCAGATGCATCCGTAGGTGTAGAGGTAAGGTGCACCTTCAAATTTTATCATGGTATATAATTTTGATGTAAAATGTTCTTAGGATTATCTCAAAGTCTATTTTTATATCTAATTATAAAATTTTAAATTTTAAAAATGGTTAAAATCAAGTAGATCTATAAACATAAATCTTGTAAATAGATAGTGTAGATAATATGTTGTGAAATGCACTATTTATGAAACTTAAAATCTTTGTATTTTTCATATTCATACATCTCGATGTCGAGATGATCAATCAAAGGGTTTTTCAACATTAAAACTATATTTTTTGATGGATTTTGAAGGGCATCCGTAGTTCTACATTATAAGGTAGCATTTTTATATAAACTTTTTGCCTTCTTACGTGGGCCATATGCAATCCAATTTTGTACTTTCTCCTCTCTCATACAATGGCTGCAGCTGAAAGGTATTTCATTCTCTCTACATTTCCTTTTTACTCCTTATTCTTCAATTGCAAACCACACCATCAAGGTGAAAGGGTTGAGTGAATTTTGTCGGTTTGGTAATCAGCTATTTTCAAATTTCAAATCTGAATGGCTGAGTTGGTGAAGATGTCCAACGCTGCACTCTTTCTGCACCTGATTACTATGTACTGTGATTTTGAAGATGACAAGTCGATTCATTAATTTGCAATTTATTTAGTTTATAAGATAGAACATGCAAATGAGGAATAACAAAACTATGTTGATTGCTTTTGTAAAATTTATTAAAGAGGGTGTCCGAAGCGATGAGCTTTTGTCTATTCATTGAATTCATCAGGAAAGTGGTTTCGAGTTTTCATGATGGTCGCCAAGGTTCTTTTCCAATTACAATCCGTAAGGGAGGATCGGTATGGCCCGAGCAGTGAATTTGGCCCGAGAGCAGGCTTGGACGTAAAATCTAGGCCTGGTGGCCCGGCCAGGGTGGCTCGGACAAAGGTTCACTGCTCAGCATTGCCCTTTTTCTCCAACATAAAAAAAAGTTTGTTTAGTTTTTATTGGCTCTATCCTCGCCCGACTTGGCTCTTTAAAAGGCTCGACTCTGTCTAATCCACCCCTAAAAATCGGTTTGGTTATGAATTAATTGAACCAAAATTCAGAAATAAGCAAAGAATAATATAAATAGTTTAAGGATATGAAATATATATTTAAAAAACTTAAATATATTTTGTTGGTTTGATAATCCAGAGTCAGTCAAACATTTTTAATTGTTCTATAACTAAAATTCATTTTTTTTTTTTGAATGAGACCAACTAAAACTCTAAGTTAAAGTCGATTGGTTGAACCAAGTAGTCCACCCAACATTTCTTATGACCAATTTTTTTTATGAAATCCAATTTTTGCTATAGACTTAGCCAACCAAAGCACAGGTTTGTATCCCATCAGTTGAGCCTGGCACCTCTTCAATATGGCTAACATTGATTAATATGTTCTGAGGTTTCTAGCCCATGCCTGTTAGGTTTTCTTAAAAGGAAAATGTTTGCATAGAGCCGAGGGTCTAAACAATCAAATTAGAGCCCATCTCAAAAATTTCACTAGAAGATGTTGTTTTGATGCCCAAATATCCTCCAATTGATCATCGCGATGACATCAAGATGCATGGACATGAGAAAAAAAATAGAATTCAAGTTTTGAAAGTAGTGCATCTTGTAACGCATTATTGGACCGTCAATTTTCAAGATTTTTAAGTTTTTATAGATCTGCTCAATCTATATTATTTTTGAATATTTATATTTCATAATCAAAGATTAAAATATATTTTAAGGCTATCACAAAGATTTTCAGTATTGAAGCTACATTTCTCGATACTATTTGAGGTTACTATTTGAGGTGCACGTTGCTTTGATTGTTTAGAGCCTCGGCTTACCACACCCTTTTTAAAAAGGACAACTGTTATTTTATTAGGAAATTTATGCAAATACCATCGAATTAAACCGAGACTTAAATATTAAAAAAAGAAGAAGAAAAGGACATTTTTATGAGGCAACCTTCCATATAATTGAGAAGGAACGTCATGGAACAAAAGGCTAGGACCATTTGTATGGATAGCAATCAATAGCATTTAATCAATAGCATTTAAGATAACAAAAGGAAACTCATGTACATGTTCCATAAATTTATGGTGGAGCGACAAATCAAGATTCATATAACCAAAAAGAAACTCATGTACATGTTCCATAAATTTATGGCGGAGCGACAAATCAAGATTCATATAACCTATCCTAGTTAATTTTTTTTTTTGAGAATAATAATAACATACATATTCATTAAAAAATTATAAAGCTCTTTTAGCCTTATGCAATTTCTGTCTCTTATATTATTTCCACACTTCTCCCAATATGCGTCGTAGTTGATACTTGGTACCTCTCTCTTACTAACAACCGAAATTTCTAGCCCACGCCGGCGCTTGCAACTGGAATTCAGACTCGTGCCCTTAAAATTATCTCCTAAGAGAGGGGGCCTCATGTTTTTCTCTTACCGCCAGAATTCTAGAGAGAGAGATTTAAGAGAGAGAAAGAGGGGCTCGTGTTTTATCTCATGAGAGAGAGAGAGAAAGTGCTTAAAAGCAAATAAATCATAGCCCGTTTGCACTTTGATTTAGTAAGAGAGAGGAGTTGGGCGGCGCCTTATTTTTTTAAAAAAAAGTAGTGAGAGAAAGAGACTCAAAATCCAGAGGGAGAGACGAAGCAGTGTCTTGGGAGGATGCCACGTGTCATGCAATGAGGACTCGCTTCATCCGACGTAACTCGCGGAAGTGGGTCCCACCGTCCGTTCTCATACGGACCTCTTTGCCGCTCCCTCCCAACTGAAGCTCCGTTAATTAGGTTTCCTCCTCTTAAGCCCTAAATAAAAACCCAAACTAAACACCCCTAAATTATTGGGAATATCAAATTTACCCAAAAATTTCGCCGTTTTGCCCTTCTGCAGTCTACGTGGCAGTTTCTTTGACTGACCTTCGTGGGAGAGCATGGAGGGCGACTATATGGGTATTCGAGTAAAAGATGCTAACATGAAGGGTGAAGTACAACTCCGAGGAAAAGAAAAACATTAACATTAACAAATGCTCAAAAAAGCGCGAAGAAAATATATCCCAACAAAAGAAAAAGCGCGAAAAACAAATTATTTTTTCTCTTCCAAAGAAATTTAAAACGCGGTTTCGAAGAAGCAGGAGCAATTGCTGATAGAGAGAGCAGCAGAGACATTTGTGCTAAGATCCCGCTTTGCTGTTCTAAAAACAAAACCCTAATAATCGATCGATCCCAAAAAATTTAGGGTAGAATCGTTGTAATAGTAATTTGGTCCATCTGATACATTTTAAATTTGATGGTACCATCTCTGCATCTTAGGGCACCAATATTGCTGTTTCAGAGGAGAAAATCCCCATTTTTCAGAAGAGAAAATCTCCATTTTTTAAGAGCATAAACCTTAATAGTTCTGGACACAATCCGGATTTCAGACAGGCAAGAGAAACAGGAAAAAGGAATCTGGTATTTCTGGGGGAGAAAATCTGGGTTTTGCGGGGTGACAATTCGGGCATTTACGGCTTGGTAATGGTGTTTTAGGAATAAAATTTAGGGTTTTCAGGGGGATCTGGAACCTATGACAATCATATGTTCCAGTCTTCACGTAAAACAATGAAATGGGTGTCGCTTCTTAAGGACATCAAGGAGAAAGTCGGTTTCTCTCAGTCTTCGTCTTCGTCTCCCACTTCATCAGAGGCTGCACGCTCACCCAAAAATGCAGCCTTCTCATCTTCCCCATCAACCAGGTATTTGTTTTGTTTAATTATTGGATCCATTTTTGTTATGATTTATTCTCTGATTTGTTTTAGTTTTCGAGACTTGTGGGTTTGCTTGATTTGCTGTATTGTTTATCGTATAATATATGGTTTTGTAGTTTATTGGTAGAAGCCATTTTTTATTGAATAAATGGGAATGATTATTTATCAGTACGAAATGTTTGATTCTATATTAAATGAACTTTTTTTGTTCTTATTTGTGATTGTGATTTTTTTTGAGGGTGGAGATTTAATGACATCGCACTTTTTTTTTTTAATAAGCTGTTGGATGAAGCAAGGCTTGATTTTTGATCTTTAGATGTTCTTGCACAATTATTTGGATGTGTTTGGTTGTTGTTGGTTTCTTCAAATTTATGAGCATTACAGTCCAGTAGCGATATCTATTAATGAAATTCTTTGGAGAAGGTCATAAGGATTAAAGGGCGAAATTCATTGGGAATGTATGGCTGTTGTTTAGATTGTTTTTTTTCCTCCGATCAAGTCTTGTGCCACTAGAATACTCTATCATCCACCTTGAATTTTTCAGAGGGAAACAATACATGAAACTGTAGAGGACCTTGTGAGGAAATTTAGGTGTTTTTACATTGCCCATTGAGACTTCTGATTAATCTAATTAGTACCAGCACACTGCAGTATTGTTTAAGAAAAAATGATAGTTTGAACCATATGAGTTGATTGTTCAACTCCTGCTTGGACTAATTTTGTAGTGAGCCAATTGTTTCCATTGGGAGGTGATGACTTTGCTTCCTCTTTAGGGAATACATGTGATAAAACCATTAATGTGGTCTAGCAAATTTTGGAAATCTAGAAGTAGTTTATACCTCACTAAATATCCTTCCCTTACAGTATCAGCCTTTGGGCTGTAAATTTTCAGTGCAATATCACAATTATTCCTTCTAATGTTCGATCTAGCTTCCTTGCATTTATTCCTCTGGGACACTATTTCTTATGGATGGGATGTCCATGCCTCTATTACAGATGGATCCAGTGGTTTCACATCCAGTTCCTAGTGGAGCTCTGCTGCCCACTTTATCTCTATATTTATAATTGAAGATTTTTGAACTCCTTGGGATTGCATACCTTTGCATACTGAAGTATATGAATTTGTGTCAATAAAAAAATTTAGTTTGAGACCTAACCCAGTCCCCCCCTAGAAAATCGATTATAAGCTTCTCTGGGTAATTGTGTAGTTAAGGAGGACAATAAAGAATCCCTTTCAAAGGCATTTAGAATTGATAGGATTCATGAAAGCCCATTTCTTGGAGAACCGACAGATAAAATCTAACTGAAGTAGGTAGACAGTAGCAGTGACCCAGCCTAACACCCTAAACTCCATGCCACAATGTTCCTCATTCTGATAAAGCAAAAACAAGTGAACTTCCACCTGATTGGTTCCACTCCAACCCTGCCTTGTTTCTTTTACATTTCTACTCAACACTCTTCACAGAAGTCAGTGTTTTCATCCTGCTCCTCCACATGGTTAGTGACACGGTGGGTACCCCTGGAGGTGTGGTCGCATGGGAGGGGCCGAAGGTCGACCTGACGTGGAGTCCAGGTTGTTGGAGCGCTTCATGGCTATAGAGGAGGGGTGTGTATTTATGTTTAAAGAAGAGAAGTTATTCTTAAAATTTAATCTTCTCACCAGAAGCTTGCTCATCCTAAGAACCTACAGATAAGATGTGACAGAGATACATACAATAGCAGCAACTCAGCCCAGTGCCCAAAACACCATACCAGAACATCTATTTTTCCATTAAGAAGTGGTAAAGTTCTACTCCATGTTCTTGTTTTTACTATAATCTAATATTCACTGGAATTTTTCCTGTCATAAGATGAAAAACCCTTGCAAAAAGGTATGTAATTACAGAAATTGGAGAAGAGCTTGGAGATGATCACATTGCATGGTGTTGGTTTTTCCTTGCTTTAACATGAATGCTCTAATCGGGGTTACAGGTAAATACTTCTATAAGACACTTATTTGGACGTAAATGCCTAGATATATGTGCCTGACAAATCTAACACACGTGCATACTTTTAATTACTCACTATGATGACAAAAAGTTTCATGGGAAAGGACTCATCTTCTAGAATCCCTTCGCAGTTACTAAAGGAAATTCTATTATTTCCATTTGTCAGAATCAAGAAGACCACCATGATATTTAATTTTGCAATAAGGTTGGCAACTGCTGAATTAAGCCCATATGAATATTATGTGTATTTGATGCTTTTGTGTTTTGAAGCATAAAACTTAAATTTACTTTTATGTAAAATTTCTTATGCATGATTTCTCTTTGATGTCTTGTGGTAGCTAAGTTAATGATGAAAAATTCATAATTGACTTGTTTGTTTTAAAAACAGAGAAAAGCATGAATTGGAGTTGGACTTCAAGAGATTTTGGGAAGAATTCCGCTCGTCCTGCTCAGAAAAGGTACATTGCTTTGTGTTAACTAACTTATTGATAATTATCACTCGAGATGCTAAATGTTTGCAAAATATTGAATGCAGGCGAAAGAAGAGGCCTTGAACATGGCTTTAGATGTATTTTGCCGATTGGTGAAGCAGCAGACAAGTGTCACTCATTTAATTGCTACGTATGCTCAACTACTCCTTTGCTTTGTATAATTTACGGATGACATGGATCTGTTTTTTCTGCAAGTGTTTGTTAGAAGCTTGTAGATGCTCTGGCCTTCCTTTTGACTAAGGATTAATCATCTTTTTGCACAAAACATTGTCAATATCAACATATTGTTCTCTGGGTTGAGGGTACCATCTCACCGGGACAGTCAAAAGTTTCATTTATGGATCCCATACAATTTTGTTATGGAAGTTCTATATGAAAATTTATTTATTCAATTTATTTGCAATGAATGAATTGCTTGATAATGGATCCCAGGGGAAAGACTATGCAAATTGGAACATTTTTATGAAATTATCTTTCATGACGTTAATATTTTTAATTTCAAGCCATTAAAGTTGTACAAACATGGAAAATTTCAAGCCATTACACACATGGAAAATCTAAATCACGCAGTCATGGTATCAAGATGGATATGTTTTTTCGTTTTTTTTGTTGTTGTTATAACACCATGGATTTGTTAGAGTCTCGTCGGTCAGGATTACTCCTACTTCTGCTGGATTCTGTCATATACGATTATGAATATTAGTTATGCCTGTTTCAAAGTGCTGAACATCAGCTTTTGACAACTCACAGGTTAGCCGAAGCCCACGTGTTCTCCTTTGTCATAGGGAGGGCATTTGTAGTTGAAGTTGAGAAGTTGAAGGGCTCAAGTAGATCTTTGAATGTTTTTGAAGTCCTGAATTACCTTACAGAAGTTGCGAAGGTGTGTCTTCTATAACTCTGTTTTTCACCTGGATGATTAGTGCAACACACTTTGCAGTAGTTTTATATGGCATTTTTTATGCACAGGAGGGCAGCAGTTCTGGTTCTAATTTGCTATATGCTGTGGAAGTCCTTGTTACTGGGGTATGTATATGGTTGAAATACTTTAAAGGAAACATATCTGAATTTCTGCCTTGATAGATGATGAATGTGGAATTTTCTTTCCATATGACAAAATTAGAATGATCTCCTGTTTTGTGAAACTTTAATAAAATTTTTTTATGGGGATTGAATTAAAAGGAAATTTGTTGATGTTGTAAATTGGTTAGCCATCTCAGGTATACTTTCTATGAGTCACAAATTTACATTTTGGTTTAACTGTACTATTTGTGCCTCTTATGGATACAATTGATTTTTCTTGTATAAATCAGAATGCTACTTTGTGGAGTTCAGCTCTCGTATATTTATCAGATCCATTGGTTGAAACATATTTTATTCTATTGACAGCCACTTGATAAGCAACCTCTGCTAGATTCTGGGATCTTGTGCTGTCTGATACATATTCTCAATGGCCTTCTCAATCCTGAAAATGAAAATCAAAGAGTGGGTATGGTTGACTCAAAAAGATCAGGTTCGCCACAAAAAGCTCATGATGGAAATAGCGTACAAGTTGGCCAGCTTGAGGTAGTTCTTATCTCAGTTCGACTAATTTATTTTGTTTAGCTTTCTACTTTTTGTGTTTCTTACAAATCTCTCCTCGTTGAATTTTGTGCGCTGATTTTTATTTATTTATTTTTTATTTGTTTGCTTAGTTTTGTACAAAGGCATTTTCACATGTGATTTCTTGCCAATCTATTTGTCTCTATGTTTTTGTTGCGTTCAAATAGCAGGAAGTTCTCTATTATTGTCTTTCCACAGCCACGGTTTCAGAAGATGTTTTAAGGAACTAGGCTTTGGCTGAAGCCTCAAGCCTTGTAACGTGTGTATGGCCTTTAAGCTTTATACTAAAAACTCTAAAACTGGGGAATATGAGTGGTACCATTCTATTCTTGATGCTGATTATTGCTAGAGCTTATCAGAAAGAAATCATACAAACATAAATACAGTGACTGATCCAGTAACATTAGCTAGTGAGTGGTGAGACTGTTAACAGCCATATGTGTTTGGACTGAAGAGTCCCGGTTATCTTATGGTCAATTCTGGAAGAGGAATCTATTAGCCTTATTGAGATCCATCAATGTGGATTTTAGGGATTGTGTCACTGTTTGCTTTAACTTTATGGTTTTCAAATATTACTGGTGGTTAAGTTTTGACAATAAAAAGAAAAAGAAACTGAGAAATGAAAGCGATCTGAACTAATGCATATCTCTTAGTGGGTTGCTCCAGCTAATCATTACTACAGTGTAGTCCTTACAATCAGAAAAGGGGGAAAAAAAGTCTTGAGAATAAGTCCCATCTTCTTGGAGATCTTTGGTTGACACATATGAGTTCCTCAGTAGTTTCTGCATTCTTGAGTGCATTTTAAATTATCCTTCATCTTTTTCAGGCCTCATCAATCTGACATGAATATTTAAAGAACACGTTATATCATTTCATGGACCTTGGATGAAGTAAAGTTGTGGGATGAAAATCCAGTGAATATACCAACTTGCATATGGGGCTTGAGCTGGAAATCCTGTGAAACTTATGAAACATGCAATGCATTTATCTATCTAATATCAGGACGAGTATGACATAGAAAATAGGGGGATTAGGGGAGGGCAGAATGTATTTCAGAATGTGTCTTTATTTGCTACCCAAAATTCAGAATGTAATTTATATTAACAGATTTTAGATGGAGCTTTTGTGTTAATGTAAACATTGAGGATGATTTTCAATGTTTTTAACATGCATGGATATTTTTGCCAATTTAATTTCATAGGATTATCTGGAGTTATTATCATTTCGAGGATGAAAGATGATGAAGTGGATGTGTCTTACAGTTTGGAGCTTCCAATATGCAGGTGGAGGGGAGTATAGTGCACATCATGAAAGCATTGTCTAGCCATCCTTCTGCTGCACAGAGCTTGATTGGAGATGATTCCCTTGAGGTTCTGTTTCAAATGATTGCAAATGGGGCTCTAACTGTTTTTTCACAGTTTACGTTGGGCGTCATTCCATTGCACACCATTCAGCTTCATCGTCATGCCATGCAGGTAACTTCTACTACTAATATGGTTATTTATATAAGCTATTATCAATGTTTTCATTGTGCTCAGTAATTGTATCATCAGAAGTTCGCTTTGCTACCTAATCAATATGGTTGTTAATCTGGTTGAAAAGACGTTTCAATCCAAAGCATGACTAGAAATTGCATTTTCTTTGTTGTGGAACTTGAAATAATAAAATTGCATTGAAATGGGGGTTGGGGAACTATGTTATCGTGTTTGGAATTTGCTTATATGATGCTTTATTCAGATACTTGGGCTTCTTCTGGTGAATGACAATGGAAGCGCTGCAAAATATATTCACGACCATCACCTGGTTTGTTAATGGCCTTAACTCTTTCTTTCTCTTCCTCAAGTTTCCCATTTTGTGTAAAATACTTGATCATCATACTGTTACTTGCTAGAATACTGACTACTCACTGGACATGCTGTCTTTTTTGGATCTGCTGGCCGTGTATGCAGATAAAGGTTCTCTTAATGGCTGTGAAGGATTTCAAACCTGAGAGTGGGGACTCTGCATACACTATGGGAATAGTGGACTTGCTTTTAGAATGTGTTGAATTGTCACATAGACCAGGTGAATGGCAAAATTTTTCTATACTCAGATTAATAGCGATTTTGTTCTGTGACCTTACATAAGTTCTTCGACTATGGATATTCCCCTAACACAAAGATTTGTCATTTTCTTTTGCAGAGGCAGGAGCCATCAGGCTTAGGGAAGATATACATAATGCCCATGGCTATCAGTTTCTTGTTCGATTTGCATTGGTACTATCAGATATGCAGAAAAACCAGGCTGCTCAGGCTCTGTATTCCACAGCTATATTGGAGGAAAATGGTGTTTCAGATGTCTCTTACAACACAACACGGCAAGATTTTACGAGAAACAAAGACATCTCACCTCAGCGTCTCTCTCCTTCCTTATCAAGGTTGCTTGACGTGCTTGTAAACCTCGCACAAACTGGTCCTGTGGAGACTGTTGGAGGGAAGGGTCAAAGATCAGCTATTAACAGGGGATCTACCCATCGTAGCCGTCCATCTTTTGAAAGGGTAGTTGATGAAATAAGGGAAAAGGGGAATAACAAAGTTAAAGATCTAGAAGCTGTTCAAATGTTACAAGATATATTTCTTAAAGCAGATAACATAGATTTGCAGGCAGAGGTGCTTGATCGAATGCTCAAGATATTCTCTAGTCATCTTGAGAACTACAAGTTGTGTCAGGAGTTGAGAACAGTGCCCCTCTTCATCCTGAACATGGCAGGGTTTCCCTCATCTTTGCAGGAAAAGATCTTAAAGATTCTTGAATATGCTGTGACTGTTGTGAATTGTGTTCCTGAACAAGAGCTGCTTTCTCTTTGCTGCTTATTGCAGCAGCCCATAACAAGTGGGCTGAAACATTCCATTCTTTCCTTCTTTGTGAAACTCTTGTCTTTTGATCAGCAATATAAAAAAGTTTTGCGGGAAGTTGGGGTCTTGGAGGTTCTTTTAGATGATATCAAGCAGCACAAGTATATATCTGGATCAGAGCAAAGTAACAACAGTCCTAATCTTTTAGAGAGAATGTCTAACTCAAGCAGTTTCAAGATGCACAAGGACAATAAGGATACCATTTTGTCCTTACCTAGGATAGTTGGTCCTGGTTCAGGAAAATTTACGGTATTTGAAGATGAACGTACAATTGCTATTGGATGGGATTGTCTGGTCTCATTACTGAAGAAAGCCGAAGTAAACCAGTCATCATTTCGGTCTTCTAATGGTGTTACACTTGTGCTCCCATTATTGGCATTAGATGTTCATCGGTTTGGGGTCCTTCGAATGTTGTCATGTTTGATTTCAGAGGATGTTACACAGGTTTGTTATCTCTGCCATTTATGCTATTGCCATTTATGCTATTAGCATGTTTCTACCCTTGTAGTATTAGTATATTACAGTTATTTTTTGTGCTGTTGTACTAGTACTAGTATGGACCACACATTACACTAAAGCGAAGGGCTATAAGTGTGATAAAAAAGTGTAAAATCATGTGCAACAATTTCCTTTTAATAAGCGACTTCTTTGTATTTCATGATGCAACGACACATAAAATAACAGAAATAAATATGTAAATGATTTAATTGCATAAGAAAAAGGGCATTGGGATGCATAGCTAAATTGGGAGGCATTAATTTCTTTAAATTATGTGTTTGAAAGTTGGTCACTTCCTGGAAACAGATAAAATAAATAAATTAATAAATAATGTTCATTGTTGGTCAAGTTTTTTGACTTATGAGAACTTGTTGACAATTTGGAAGAACTGGCAATTTTTGCTTCTTTTTCTGTAACTCGCATATTTTTCGTAGTAAGATGGAGGTTGTAACTTGTCACAGGCTCATTCTGAAGAACTTGGGGTGCTGGTTGAAGTTCTAAAGAGCGGCATGGTTACGAGTGTTTCAGGATCGCAGTACAAACTTCAAAATGATGCAAAGTGCGACGCTTTGGGAGCTCTATGGCGTATCCTTGGAGTAAATAGTTCGGCACAAAGGGTTTTTGGAGAAGCCACTGGATTTTCCCTTCTACTCACAATCCTCCACAGTTTCCAAAGTGAGGAAGGGCATGATGATGGCCATTCTTCTCTAGTGGTACACATGAAAGTTTTTGGTGTTTTATTACGTGTGATTACAGCAGGGGTGTTCAACAATGTTATTAATAGATCAAGGCTGCACGCAATTATATCTTCCCAAGCTTTTTATGATCTTTTGTGTGAATCGGGTCTGTTTTGTGTGGATTATGAAACACAAGTTATCCAATTATTGATGGAGCTTGCTCTTGAAATAGTAGTTCCACCTTCCTGTATTAATGTTCCACAAACAGAGAATGCCCTATCTTCCGAAATAGTTGAAAGTGGATCTGTGAGTTCTCTTTTCAGTGCTTCATCAGAAGCTTTAAAGCCCGAAAAAGAGCGCATCTATAATGCTGGTGCTATTGCTGTGGTCATTCGTTCTCTGTTACTCTTTACTCCAAAGGTGCAGTTAGAAGTACTGAGTTTTATTGAGAAGCTTTCTCTTGCTGGTCCCTTCAATCAAGAAAGCTTGACATCTATTGGTACTGAAATACAACATTTTGGAACCTCTTTATGTTTAGTTGTTTTTTATTCTTAATTATATATGCTCATACCTTCTCACTCTGTATGTTTTATAAAATAGGTTGTGTGGGGCTTATTCTGGAGACTATTCACCCATTTTTCATGGGTTCATCACCATTACTTTCACATGCTTTACGAATTGTGGAAGCACTTGGGGCATATAGGTTGATGCTATTCTCATTTTCATTTTCTGTGTTATGATTTTAATATTGCGATTTTGTCCTCAAATCTGTATTTTTGAACTATATTTCAAACATTGCTCTTCATAACAGGTTATCTTCATCAGAGCTCAGAGTGCTGGTTAGTTACATTTTGCAAGCAAAGGTGATAAGTTCACGTCATAATCTTATTGAAATGATGGAGAGACTGATCCACAAGGAAGAAGCGGCTTCTGAGAATCTTGCACTTGTTCCTTTCGTAGCGATGGATATGAGCAAAGTTGGGCATGCGTCTGTTCAAGTGTCCCTTGGAGAAAGAACATGGCCACCTGCTGCAGGTTATTCATTTGTTTTTTGGTTTCAGTTTCAAAACTTTATGAAGAGCCCTGGACAGGAACAGGAGCAATCAAAGAATGGTTCATTTAGAAAGAGGAATTCTTCTACTGGGCATCATGGGGGACGTCATGTTCTTCGCATATTTTCAGTTGGTGCTGTTGAAGACACTAGCATGTTCTATGCTGAACTTTACCTGCAAGACAATGGTGTTTTGACTCTTGCTACAAGCAACTCTTCCTATCTTTCATTTTCTGACGTGGAACTGGAAGAAGAAAGGTGGCATCATCTTGCCATAGTTCATAGCAAACCTAATGCCTTAGCTGGACTTTTTCAGGCAAGCATAGCATACCTTTACATAAATGGGAAGTTGAGACATACTGGAAAGTTGGGATATTCTCCATCTCCACCCGGAAAAGCATTGCAGGTGACAATTGGGACACCTCCATCGTGTGCGAAAGTTAGCGAATTATCATGGAAGCTACGTTGTTGCCATCTATTCGAGGAGGTTCTCTCAGCAGGTAGTATATGCTTCATGTACATTCTGGGTAGAGGTTACAGGGGCCTTTTTCAAGATACTGATCTATTGCGGTTTGTACCAAATGAGGCATGTGGTGGAGGAAGTATGGCCATCTTAGATTCATTGGATGCAGAGTTGCCTTTGGCCTCTAATATTCAAAGGCTTGATAGTGCTAGTAAACAGGGTAGCCTCAAAACAGATGGTAGTGGCATTGTTTGGGACTTGGAAAGGCTGGGAAGCCTCTCACTACAGCTTTCCGGACGAAAGCTTATATTTGCATTTGACGGAACACCTTCGGAGGCTTCTCTAGTGTCGGGAAACCTATCAATGCTCAATCTAGTGGATCCAATGTCTGCTGCGGCCTCCCCTATTGGTGGTATGTATGCTCCTCATTTTTTATTTGGTTAAGCATTTTACATTGCACAACTTAGGGTCAGAATATTTTCAATAAAAGTTTAGGTTATACATGAATGAGTTAGTTCATCTCATTTGTACTTTGAAGCATGTTACACACACACATGTGTACTTTTTTTATTGTTTTTTTGAAGCTGTTAACATTGTATTTAAAGGATAGAATTTACAAGAGCTCCAGGACCAAGCCGGGAAACCCCAAACAAAGGGGGGGGGAGAATGTACATTCAAAAAAAAAAAAAAAAAGACTTCACTAATAGCAATTAAATACAATAGAAGGAAGAAAAAGAAAACAAAAGAAAAAAACCAAAAAAGCAAGAAAGTGAAGATTAGGCTGGCAAAATTAGGGAGGTGTTTCGGTGGTTCCTTCTTTAGTTATATTGTCGGCCTCTTGCTTGGCCTCCCTCTAGATATGCATCCATGAAACTTGAATAGACCTACAAATATTGTAAATCTCGTCAAAAATAGTCCATAGTCTCCATTGGGGGTTTGCCACGTGGGAAGCCCAGGAGATGACCTTCAAGGATTCTCCTTCTACGATCTTGTTAAAGCTTTTGAGTCCTTCCAGAAGGGCACGGGCTTCCGCCATGGTGGAGTCCTCAATCCCAATATGGATGAGAAAGACAAAAGGGATATTCCACTGTGATTTCTGAAGACTCCCCCGATTCCTGCTGGGCCTGGGTTGCCGAGGGAGCAACCGTCAAAGTTTAATTTGATTTGGCTTAGGTTAGGAGGTCCTCAGAGGGAAGAATGAGGTATCTTTCGAGGCTGGTGGTTGAGTACGTTGTGCCAATTTGCAATGAAGTCGGAAGCAGAGAAAGACTTAAGTGTTTGTGGTTGGTAGCTCAAAAAATGAACAACGCCTTGGTCGATTCTAATACTTGAAAGGGTTGTTTGTGCTGGCCCCAAAAATCCTATTGTTCCGCTCTAGCCAGACAGACCAAAGGGTTGCTGCCACTGATGCTTTCCGTAGTCATCGTTTTATAGCTTTTTTCAGAAAATGTTTCAAAACAACTCTTTTCTTAAAAATTATTTGGTAGTCTATTTTTATACTGTGGACCTTTGGTCCACCAGATTTTATAAAAAGTGATTACATGAGGTGGTTGTTTTACCGCACTCGTGGCAATTCATGCAACCCCCTTGTTTGTTTTATTGACACCTCACTATGAGGTGTTACAAAGGTTTGCCTCTCTCATTTATTCGTATTCTCTCACGCTTTCTCTCATGAGGTTCCAGTTGATAACCGGAATAGTGAGCTCTCTTAACTGTAAGCTCACTCTCATGAGGTTCCAGTTGATAACAGGAATAGTGAGCTCTCTTAACTGTAAGCTCACTCTCTTGAGTTTTGATCTCTCTTTCATGAGAATCACTAGCCTCACGTGGATTTTCAGGTAACAAGTATTGTTACATTTTAATAATTTATTTTAAGGCGTGGGATGATCTTATATGTGCTTCGGTTTCCCAATCGATGTTAAGTTGTCATTATTTACCGATTGGAAGACTTATTTCAGTGAGAGAGAAGTTGTTCCCAATCTATGTTTTAGTGTTGTGTATTGATTAGATGATAAATTCTGTAGTGAGAGTGAGAAGCTTGCCATCCTAATTGATGTTTAATTATACTGATTAGATGATGATTTTTTTAGTGACAGATATGTTTATTTCCAATTGATGTTTGTGTTACTATACCAATTGGAAGGACATATCAGTATTTTGGTGACTGTGATTTTGTACGGGTCTCATGAGTGTGCAACTCAGGGACTCAGGAATTATTTAATGATCTGGCTGTATCCTGAGAGTGTACTCGCCGGATCCCTTTTGCACCTCGGAATTTTACCGAGACGGGGGCGTTTAACACTTCGAAGAAAGCGGGAGCATCTTGTGCCTCCAGATCCCTTGATTTTGGGACCCATTTTTTGGGAGTTCATGTCCACCATGATGTTTTGTAAACTGTGGTGAGACCCCAACTAACCAAGAATCATTATCATAGCCTTTTCCCAAGTATTTGGGGTTGGCTACACAAATCTTGGTCCACCAGTTTGCTCTGTTAAATGCAGTATCTTTTCAGACTACTTCCAACCACATCCTTTTGGGCCTACCCCTTTCCCTTTTCAATCCTTCCACTTGAACTAACTCTCACCTCTTAACAGATGTTGTACTGGGTCAGCGCCATACATGGACAACCCACCAAAGTCTACTCTCTCTCATCTTATCACCGATTGGTGCCACACCTAAATTTTTTCGAATGGATTCATTTTGAATTGTATTCCTTCTTGTCTTGCCACTCATCCATCTCAACGTCCTCATCTCTGCTACACTCATTCTATGGGTATATATTTTTTATCTTCCCAACATTCTGACCATAGAGCAAAGTTGGTCTCACAGCTGTCCTATAGAACTTACCCTTTAGCTTTGTTGGTATGCCGCAATCACATAAAATTCTAATTACACATCTCCACTGTGCCCACCTAGATCTAATTCTATGTGCGACATCTTCCTCAATCTCTCTATTTTCTTTGATTATCAACCCAAGATATCAAAATGCAGTCTTTTTTGTACTTCTTAGCCGTCCTTAACTGTTTCCTCGTCTCTACTCTTATTATTACTAAACTTGCATTTCATATACTCTGTCCTAGTCCAGCTAATTTTAAAACCTTTGGATTCTAAAGCATCCCTCCAAAGTTTTACCTTTGTGTTGACGTTGTTTTAGGTCTCATTGATCAAAACGAAGTCATCTACGAACAACATGCACCATGGTACCTCATCCTGTAGGTGTCTAGTTAAGTGGTCCATAACTAAAACAAATAGGTACGAGGTCAATAATGATCCTTGATGTAGACCTATTGTCACTGAAAACTCGTTCGTCTCTCCATTAGTTGTTCGTACACTAGTTAGCGCTCCATCGTATATATCTCTCACCAAGTCGATGTAGTATCTGGAGATTCATTTCTTTTCCAACACCTGCCAAATCAAATGTCGAGGTACTCTATCATAAGCATTCTTTAGATCAATAAAGACCATATAGAGGTCTTTTCCCTTCGTCCTAAACTTCTCAATCAGTTATCTAAGTAAGAAAATAGCCTCAGTTGTTGATCTTCCTGGCATATAAAACCAAATTGGTTTACATATACACTCGTTTCGTGTCATAGTTGTTGCTCAATCACTCTCTCCCAGAGCTTCATAGCGCTGGATCCCTCGATAGTCTGCACAATGTTGTTTGTCTCATTTTTTTTGTAAATAGGTACTACAATACTTTTCCTCCATTTGTCTAACATTTTCATGGTTTTCAACACCTTATTGAACAACTTCGTCAGCCAGTCAATGCCAATCTCCCCCATGCACTTTCAAACCTCTATTGAGATACCATCTGGTCTTAAAGGCTTTCCTATCTTCATCCTTTTCGAAGCTTCTTTCACTTCCGACATCCTAATCCTACAAATGTATCTATGACCTGCGACATCATTTATGCCAAGAGTTCCTTCTACCGCTATGTTCCCATTGTGTTCGTCTTTTAAAAGTTTTTGAAAATAAACTCTCCACCTTTCATTGATCTCATCATCCTTCACCAAGACCCTTTGATCCTCACTCTTAATATATTTAATATGGCGTTGCTTTCCATATTAACACCCTTGATTTATGCCAAGGGAGAAAGGTTGCTACACGGAAAAGCTGAGGAATTCGAAGGTGGGGTGACCCAAGACCAGCCAAAGGAGTGAAGTAAGTGGTCCCACAAATAATTGGCAAAAGGGCAATGGAGGAAAAGTTGGGGCTTGGTTTCTTCGTCCGACATGCACAGGATACAACGATTGGGGAATTGCAGCCCTTTTCTTTGTAATTGGTCTATTGTTAGGTTCCTTTCCTAGATGCATACCCACATGAAGAACTATAATCTAAGCATAGACTATAATTGGTCTACAACAGTGTTCGAAAATTCGGTCACCTAACTGCTTAGGCGGTCGCCTAGGCGCTGTTTGGGCAGTGGAATTATGCGGCCTGTCTCTGGGCGCCTGCCTAGTTATAGTTTGCGGAAGGGCAAAAAAAACCCTCGGGGAGGGAAAAAAATGTCATTTTTCCCTCTAAAAAGGGGAGAAAGTGGTTTTGGGGGGGTATTCTAAACCCCGAAAACTAAAACTGTGGCTTTTAGGGTGAGAAAAACTCCCCAAAAAACCACTCTTTTGTGATTTATTCAAAGACCGATAAAGTTTTGATTTTTGCGATTTCTTCCCAAAATAAAGGCAATAGTTCGTGGGTGGATTTAGAGCTTCTAGTAGTTGATTTTGAGAACTTTTGGCGATCCAATAGACGAAGTTTGTACCGACATTGATTTGATTTTGATATTTTTCAGGTATTATCATATTTGAAAGAGGGTTTTGATTTTATTTTGCTACAACATATTATGTTGCGAATCACGTGTTTTTTCTTTTACGATATATTTACATGTTTGGTCGATGACTTGTTGTATTTGTTTTTGGATTTTGCCTTGTTGATTTTATGTATCGTTTCTAGTCTAGACTTCTAGTTTCCTACAATGATATTTGGGATTTCAAGCATTTTAATGTCTTACAAGTTACAATCTCTTTGGGACTTGTATGCATCAATCTGTTATGTGATTACACTATTACGTTTTCAATTATTTCATGAGGAGTTTGAGGCACTAAAATTGACCTAAAAACTCCCAAAGACTTAAAACCATACCCTAAGAACTCCCATGTTTTTTTTTGTTTGGGGTGGCGCGGTTCAATTTTGGTGAGGGTACCCTGTCTGTGGGCGGGTGGCCAAGTGCCTAGGCAGCCAGGCACCCAAAACGCCTGGGTGCCCAGGCACCCAAATGCCTAGGTGCCCAAATTCACATTTTTGAACATTGGTCTACAGTTAGTGCTAGGTTTGGCGTTGAAGCATAGAATGTATTTCAACTTTCAAAATTATTTTAAAAGCTGTGAACCCCACATGAACTATGCATTGTGGGCATTCCAAAAAAATTGAACAAAATTAATCAATTAATCAACAGCAATTAAAAAGCCAAGCTCTGATTTCCACTTTGTGATTCGCAGGAATACCACGCTTTGGACGTCTCCATGGAGATATTTATTTATGCAGTCCATGTGCGATTCGTGACAGCATTCATCCAGTTGGTGGGATTCCCGTTGCTTTGGCTTTAGTTGAAGCAGCAGACAGCAAGGATATGCTACATATGGCACTTTCTTTACTTGCTCGTGCCCTGTTCCAGTGTCCACGAAATGTGCATGAAATGCAAGCCTACAGAGGATACCATCTACTTGCTCTTTTCCTGCACCGTAGAATGGCATTGTTTGACATGCAATCACTTGATATCTTTTTCCAGATTGCAGCACGTGAAGCTTCATTTTCTGAACCCAAAAAACCTCAAGGGACTTCCAAAACAAATTCCGCTGGTGGAGTTGTTGCCGATTCTGATTACGAAGATGTGGGGTTACCGAAGTTCTCCGACGAGTTCATGTCCATTGGGTCTCATGGTGATTTGAATGATTTTGTTCCACAAAAAGATTCATTGAGCCATATTTCGGATCTTGAAACTGCTGAGCTTCAATCAGAGACATCAAATTGTATTGTTTTGGCTAATGCAGACATGGTAGAGCATGTTCTCTTGGACTGGACCTTATGGGTTACTGCCCCTGTTTCAATTCAGCTTGCTCTACTAGGATTTCTTGAACGGCTAGTGTCAATGCATTGGTATAGAAATCATAACCTCACAGTCTTGAGGAGAATTAATCTTGTGCAACATTTGCTAGTCACTTTGCAGAGGGGTGATGTTGAAGTCCCGGTTTTAGAGAAATTAGTGGTGTTGCTTGGGGTAATTCTTGAAGATGGTTTTCTAGCCTCCGAGCTTGAGCATGTAGTCATATTTGTGATTATGACCTTTGACCCACCTGAGATGACACCCCGCCATCAAATCCCCAGAGAATCAATGGGAAAGCATGTGATTGTGCGAAATATGTTACTTGAAATGCTTATCGATCTTCAGGTGACAATTAGTGCTGATGAATTGCTCGAACAGTGGCACAAAATAGTATCTTCTAAGCTGATCACCTACTTTTTGGATGAGGCTGTCCACCCAACAAGTATGAGATGGATTATGACCCTTCTTGGGGTTTGTCTTGCCTCTTCTCCTACATTTGCACTCAAGTTTCGAGGCAGTGGTGGTTATCAGTGTTTAATGCGTGTGCTTCCAAGCTTTTATGATTCTCCGGAGATATACTACATCCTTTTCTGTTTAATATTTGGCAAGGAAGTGTATCCTAGATTACCTGAAGTTCGCATGGTGGATTTCCATGCCCTTATTCCTAGTGATGGAGGTTATGGGGAATTGAAATTTGTGGACCTTTTAGATTCTGTTATTGCCATGGCAAAAGCTACATTTGATAGGTTAAGCATGCAATCGATGCTCGCTCACCAAACTGGCAATCTTTCACAGGTGAATGTTAGCTTAGCAGCTGAGCTGGTTGAAGGAGTTAGTGACATTGAAGGAGAGCTTCAAGGTGAAGCTTTAATGCACAAGACATATGCAGCACGTCTCATGGGTGGTGAGGCTTCTGCTCCAGTTGCTGCAACTTCTATTTTGCGCTTCATGGTTGATCTTGCAAAGATGTGCCCCCCCTTCTCAGCTGTTTGCCGGAGGGCAGAATTTCTCGAAAGTTGTGTTGACCTGTACTTTTCTTGTGCAAGGTATGAATTTCAAGACATTATGAGTAATATGTGTGTGTTCTACTGCTTAATAACAGCCTCATATTCCTATAGAAGTTTAAGAGATTCGAAATTTTGCATTCCTTTGGATATTAAAACTACTTTTGATATCTTCAATAAATTCTATGCTATATTATGAAGTGTGGTATATGTGTTCTGCCGCACTTACCATGCTTAAATAACAAATTCATGGTCCTTTAAATGTTTAAAAGATTTTAAATTTTTGTCCTGAATATTTAAAATTTTATTGGAAACCTAAAAAGTTAGGACTTCGATTAGAAACTTGTTTTTCTTTCTTACAAGTCTTGGTTAGTGAAAACTTGTATCTCAAATTTTATTAGAACTTCTGTTTTAATATACAATGGGTACGTAAAGACTTGACAAAAGGTGTTTACTGACTGATAATATTATTCTTTGTTTGTTTTTCTTTTCAGAGCTGCTTGTGCTGTAAAGATGGCAAAAAATATGTCAGTAAGAAGCTCTGATGAAAGAAACTTGAATGATACTGATGATGCTCGTAGTTCTCAACATACATTCTCCAGCCTGCCCCATGAACATGAACAGTCTGCCAAAACATCTATAAGCATGGGAAGCTTTCCACAAGCTCAGAAAAGTACTAGTTCAGAAGATTTGATTGGGATACAAAACTATGTATCAGAAGATAGGAAAGCTGAAGCCAAGGATATGTCTCATTTGGAAATAAGCAAGCAGTTCGTGGCAGATGATGCACCCACAAGTCATAATTATGATGGTGAAAGCCTAGAGCTAATGTCTCCGGCTACTTCTGGTACCCATGAATTTAGTTTTCCTACTAACGATAAGCCAGTTGAACCCATGCTTGCGATGGATTCATTCAGTTCAGCATCTATACAAGTCCCCAATTCTCCGGATTTCTCTGAAAACTCAAACTATAGGACTGGGCTCTCTCCTTCTTCATCACCAGTAATTGCATTGACTTCTTGGCTTGGTAGCTCTGGAAACCATGAAGGGAAATCACATCTGGCTGCCACTCCATCAATGGGGTCATCAGTTTCAGCGAGTGAAATGGATCTATCGCAAGATCCCAAATCTAGTTTTCAAGGCTCTTCCCCTGCAAGCACATTTTTTGCCATTAGTCTCTCATTCTTGCTAGAAATGGAAGATGCTGGTTCCGGAGGAGGCCCATGCTCCTCGGGAGCTGGTGCTGTCTTAGATTTCATTGCTGAAGTTCTTGCTGATGTTGTGGTTGAGCAAATGAAATCTGCTCCAATTATTGAGAGCATTTTGGAGAATGTTCCTTTATATGTTGATTATGATTCCATGCTGGTTTTTCAAGGCATGTGCCTTAGCAGATTGATGAACTATTTAGAACGTCGCCTTTTGCGTGATGATGAGGAAGCTGACAAGAAACTTGATAAGACTCGATGGTCTGTAAACTTGGATGCTTTGAGCTGGATTATTGTAGATCGTGTGTACATGGGGGCTTTTCCACTGCCAGGTGGGGTGTTAAGAACTTTGGAATTCTTGTTATCCATGTTACAGTTTGCAAATAAAGATGGTCGAATAGAAGAGGCAGCCCCTTCTGGGAGAGGCCTACTATCCATGGCAAAGGGCAGACAACTTGAGGTGTATATACATGCACTATTGAAAAACACCAACCGCATGGTTATGTACTGCTTCTTGCCATCGTTCCTGACCTCAATTGGGGAGGACCAATTGGTCTCCAGTTTGAATTTACATCTCGATTCAAGGAAACACACATCCATGGGTATTTCGCAAGATGCTTCTGGTGTTGACATCTGTACATTTCTGCAATTACTGATAGCTCACAAGAGGCTGATACTGTGTCCAAGCAATCTTGATACCGATTTGAATTGCTGTCTTTGCATCAATTTGATATCTCTTCTTCAAGATAGCAGGCGATCTGCACAAAATATGGCTGCAGATATTATGAAATATCTTTTAATTCATCGGCGGGCAGCCCTAGAGGAGTTGCTTGTTTCCAAACCAAATCAAGGTCATTCTCTAGATGTTCTTCATGGAGGTTTCGATAAGCTGCTTTCAAGCCACTGGTCTGTTTTTTGTGAATGGTTCCAGGCTTCTGATGTAACTGTGAGCAAAGTGTTGGAGCAGTGTGCTTCTCTTATGTGGGTTCAATACATAGCCAGCACAGCGAAGTTTCCTTGGGTGAGAATAAAAGGCATGGAAGGTCGTCGAAAGAGAGAAATGATGAGAAGATCACGTGATGCCTCAAAGTTAGACCTAAAGCACTGGGAGCAGATGAGTGAGCGTAGATATGCCTTAGAGTTGATTCGTGATGCTATGTCAACCGAGCTAAGAGTCATTCGGCAAGATAAATATGGTTGGATTCTCCATGCTGAAAGCGAGTGGCAATGCCATCTTCAGCAGCTTGTGCACGAACGAGGAATATATCCAGTAAGGAATCTCTCATCCATGCAAGAACCTGATGGGCAACTTTGTCCTATTGAGGGTCCATATCGTATGCGTAAAAAACTTGAGAAATGCAAGTTAAAAATCGATACGATACAAAATGTGCTTACCCAATGTCAAGATTTTGGTAAGGAAGGGATTGGGAAGGAAAGCACGGTGATTGGTGTGGATGCTTCTGAAACTGATTCTGATTCATTCTTTCATCTTTTATCTGGTGGTGCTAAACCAAAGTGCCTGGATGGAGGCGACTATGAGGAAGCTTTATTTAAAGAAGCTGATGATTTTAGAGACGGGGATTCAACATCTGCTCGAATTGGGTGGAACGATGATCAGGTTAGCAGTGTAAATGAGGCTAGCCTTCACTCTGCTATTGAATTTGGTGTCAAGTCAAGTGCATTCTCTGTTCAAATAACTGAAAGCATAAATGCAAAATCTGATCTAGGTTCTCCTAGGCAATCTTCATCCATGAGAGTTGATGACATGAGATCAGATAGCAAGTCAGAAAAGGAACTTCATGATAATGGAGAATATCTGATTAGACCCTATCTTGAACCTCTGGAGAAGATAAGGTTTCGATACAACTGTGAGCGAGTCGGAGGACTTGATAAACATGATGGGATTTTTCTTATTGGAGATCTCTGCTTATATGTGATTGAGAACTTTTACATTGATGAGTCTGGGTGCATAAATGAGAAGGAATGCGAAGATGAACTCTCTGTCATTGATCAAGCTTTGGGTGTCAAAAAGGATGTTACTGGGAGCTCCGAAATCCAATCGAAGTCACCTTCACCATGGGGAACAACAGTTAAAGTATGGGCTGGGGGTAGAGCATGGGCATATAGTGGTGGTGCTTGGGGGAAAGAGAAAGTATGTAGCAGTGGGAACCTTCCACATCCATGGCGAATGTGGAAGCTTGACAGTGTTCATGAGATTTTAAAGCGTGATTACCAACTCCGTCCAGTCGCTATTGAGATATTTAGCATGGATGGTTGGAACGATCTTCTGGTTTTCCACAAGAAGGAGAGGGAGGAGGTATTCCGTAATCTCATTGCAATGAATCTTCCCCGTAATAGCATGTAAGCTCCTTAACTTCATACTAACACATTGGGTTATTCTAGTTTGATTTTGGTATTCCATAATCTCATGGCAATGAATCTTCCACGTAATAGCATGTAAGCTCCTTAACTTCATACTAACACATTGGGTTATTCTAGTTTGATTTTGGTGTTTATTTTCATTTGAATTCAGCATACTGAAGTCCACTCCAGTCCTGTACGTGGACTTTTTTTTTTGTATACTTATTTCTATTTGGATATCTTCAGTTTCTTTTTGCAATTGCAAATGGCTTCACAGAAGCCTGGAAAAGTAGAACTCAATCATTTAAAAATCAAAACCATTGGGACATACTAAACCTTTTCTTTTCATTTTCTTTGGCAAACAGGTTAGACACTACTATTTCAGGGTCGTCCAAACAAGAGAGCAACGAGGGAGGTCGCCTTTTCAAGATCATGGCCAAATCATTCTCAAAAAGGTGGCAAAATGGAGAAATAAGCAACTTCCAGTACCTCATGCACCTCAATACTCTTGCAGGACGAGGGTATAATGATTTAACGCAGTACCCAGTTTTCCCTTGGGTTCTTGCGGATTATGAGAGTGAAAACCTCGATCTCTCAAATCCCGATACATTCCGTAAGCTTGACAAGCCAATGGGATGCCAAACACCAGAGGGAGAGGAAGAATTCAAGAAAAGGTCTATTGCATTTCTCACTCTTCAATTTATTCTGTATCCGTAGAATTCAAGTAAAGGTCTGTTTCATTTCTCATTCTTCCATTTATTTCGTATCCTTAGATTCGGGTGGTTCAAATTCTAACCGCCTGTTAGATCGAAACTGGCCACTGGCCGGTTTCAGTTTTTGCCGGTTTTGGTGAACCACCCTAGTATTTAAAAAATTTAATTTTTTTTATAAAATCTCAAAAAATAAGGGATTTTGTATGGCATTTTTTAATTTTTTTCATCATTTTGGCAAAGATTGGAAATTATTTGGCCATTAATATTTATTTTTACATTTTCCCATCTTTTTTGGAAAATTTTAAAAATACTCCTAGGCACAAATCGATTCTTTAAAATCCATTTTTTCATTAATTTTCAACTTCATTTAGATGTGCTTTGTTTAGTCATGCTTTAGATATATTTTTCATATTCTATTAGATCATTTTGTATTTTTTTTTTAAAATTTTTTTAACACCTTTTTGACCGCCCGGGACTTACCCAGTTATGGCGGTTGAACTGGCTGGTTTATTGGTTAGGCCAGTTGAACCGCTTCTGGCCCCATGTCCGGTTAACTGTCCCGGTTCGATTTTTCCTATACTGGCTGATACATATTATCTTTGTAGAATCTAATATTCAATTCTTGCATTTTGTTAATGGCTTTATCATCCTTATTTATCACAGCTAGTGTTGTGTGTTTTCCTATGTGGTGACAGTTTCTTTTTGTTTGCAGGTATGAAAGCTGGGATGATCCAGATGTTCCAAAGTTCCACTATGGTTCACATTATTCTAGTGCAGGAATTGTGCTGTTCTATCTTCTGAGGTTGCCTCCTTTCAGCATGGAAAATCAGAAGCTACAAGGTGGCCAATTTGATCATGCTGATCGTCTCTTTAATAGCATAAGGGACACATGGCTTAGTGCAGCTGGAAAGGGTAACACATCTGATGTGAAGGAGCTGATCCCAGAGTTCTTCTACATGCCAGAGCTGCTTGCAAATAGATTCAATCTTGACTTGGGTGAAAAACAATCTGGAGAGAAGGTCACTGTCTCATCTTATGTTTGAAAACCAACAGAGATTTTTCTTTTCCCTTTTGCAGACCCAAATGCACTGTTTGCGTCCCAAATTGTTTGATCACTTTCAACGTTGTTACTAGCTAACATTATAAAAACAAATGTCGTTAGTGACTAACATTCATGGCTTCTATTGTAGGTTGGGGATGTTGTGCTGCCAACTTGGGCAAATGGCAGTGCAAGGGAGTTCATTAGAAAGCACAGGGAAGCACTGGAGTCAGATTATGTCTCGGAAAACTTGCATCATTGGATTGACCTTATTTTTGGATATAAGCAGAGGGGAAAGGTGAGCATACTTATCATGGAAACTGAGTTTGTTTTACAGAACTGTGTTGGATTCGAATCCTGCTGGACCAGGTTTTGCGTTTAACTTGCTCAAAGCTGAAATTTTAAATAAAAATAGAAATTGACCTTCTACATGATATTGCAGGCGGCGGAAGAAGCTGTTAATGTCTTTTATCACTACACCTATGAGGGGAGTGTAGACATTGATGCAGTCTCAGACCCTGCTATGAAGGCTTCCATTCTTGCCCAAATCAACCACTTTGGTCAAACTCCACGCCAGCTCTTCCAAAAACCTCACCCCAAACGCCGCTCTGACCGAAAGCCTCCAACCAACTCCCTTCGTCATTGTAACCATCTCACTCCCAACGAAATCAGAAAAACCCAAAACTCAATAACCCAAATCCTCACTTTCCATGACAGAATACTTGTGGCCCCGATTAACTGTGCCCTAAAACCCCAAACCTACTCAAAATATGTAGCTTGGGGCTTCCCTGATCGAACCCTGAGGTTCATGAGCTATGACCAAGACAAGCTCTTGTCAACCCATGAGAGTCTACATGGGCCTAACCAAGTTCAGTGTGCACAGGTTAGCAAAGATGGGCAAACCCTTGTGACTGGAGGGGATGATGGGGTGGTCTCGGTTTGGCGTATAAGCAAGGATGGTGTTCGTGGGCAAAGACGGTTGCACCTACAAAAGGCCCTATGTGCCCACACTGCTGAGATAACATGTATGTATGTTTGCCAACCGTATAGTTTGATTGTGACTGGGTCTGACGACTGTAGTGTGATTTTGTGGGATATGAGTAGGCTCTTATTTGTGAAGCAATTGCCCGAGTTTCCAGCCTCTGTTTCAGCTGTCTATGTTAACGATTTGACTGGAGAGATAGTCACAGCTGCTGGGATTTTGCTTGCGGTTTGGAGTGTGAATGGAGATTGTTTGGCATTGGTTAATACATCACAATTGCCTTCGGATTCGATAACTTGTGTTACAAGCACAAGTTTTTCGGATTGGTTTGAGACCAATTGGTATGTCACAGGGCACAAGAGTGGAGCATTGAAGGTGTGGTGTATGGTGCATGGTTCAGAGGAGGCAGGAGAGGGGAGGAGTATTGGTGGGTTGGGTTTGGGGGTGAAGGAAACGGAGTATCGGCTGGTTTTGTACAAGGTACTTAAGGCTCATAGACAAACTGTCACAGCTCTCCATCTCACTAGTGATATGAAGCAGCTTTTGAGTGGGGACTCTGGGGGCCACTTGATTTCGTGGACATTGCCTGATGATGGCATGAAAGGTGGCTCATTCAAGCAGGGGGCAGTTTCATGAGAGAAAGAGAATCAATAGACAATGAGAGAGAATGACCGGTCCTATTATTTTGATATTATGCCTGATGGATTTTCCTTGATGGGTTCAGTCATGGTCCTTTGTAAGGAGTTGGCCTGCAAAGTGGAAAAGGGACATGCATGGGCTGGCCCATGATATATGAGAGAGAAACCCCTGTTAAGCATATGGATCCCAGAAAAGAATAACCCATTAAGCGCATATTTTTTTCAAATATGTCTCCAGTTGAGCGGGAATGCGTTTCGCCAACGGTTTGTTGGAACATCAACTGATTTTGGCCTCTGTTATATGGGTGGTGGGATCATGGAGTGAGGGAGTATAAAAGGGGATTTTAATGTAGCAAAAGGAAATGGCTTTTGTGTAGATAGAGATGGGCATTTACTTATGTCCAGTGTATAAAATAGTGAGGGTGTGAGAGCACTATTGTGGTGCCAGTGTTCGAAGGAGGATAATCAGTGGATTGTGGTGTGTGCGAGTATGCGTTTGCCTTGGGTTATTCTTTTGTATGGGTGTAATTGAGCACCCCCGCCCCTTTTTTTTGCAGATTAATGTGTTATGGTTTCGGGTAACTTACATCTCTCTCTCTATACACAGCCGCATATGTGGGAATTCTGGCTTTGGTGAAACTTAATATGGTTATGGCCTTTCCATATTCTAGGGACTAAGGAAAATCAAGCAGTCATCCTTTAAATATTTACTAGCGTATGTAATGAGAGAATAATAACAAAAAAAATGAGATACAGACCAATAGCAAAAATATTCAGAGAACAATGGACATCAATCTTACATTTTTGATATAAATGTAGGTAGTGTTAGATGAATATTACAAAATAAGAAGAAATCAATAATAAACTATAAACAAATTTTTTTATAAGGTGCTATACTAGTAAGGTGCACATAAAAAAACCCATTGGAGAAGGTTGTTTCGATGCATGGAACCAATCATCTCGACCTTGAGATTCATGGATATGAGGGAAAGAAAAGAAGGATTTTAAGTCTTATAAATGGTTCATCTCTTAATATATTATTTGGATCCTCTATTTTCAAGATTTTCAAATGTTTATATATATGTTTTGATCTGCAGAAAAATACAATAAAAAATAAGGTTTGAGAGATTATGTCCTCTTTTTAAAAGTCTATTACAAGATCTTTTTACATGATCAAACTCTTCATCCAATCATCAATAACTCTATAAAAAGACTTTTCACATGATCAAATTCTTTATCTAATCATCACTAACTCTATAAAAAGAAGGACATCTTCTTTTAAAATATAAAATTAAAAAATAATAAAGAAAAAATAGAAAACTAAACTCTGTCACTGATTTATCTCTTAAAAACAAATCTAACCATTCTAATCCTTGTCCATATCCATCGTTTTTTAAAAAAATTAAATTAAAATTTCAATTATTCCCCTTAAATATCTACATAACCCTAAGGAAAAATAAAAATTCAAAGGACATAATTTTACAATAGCTGGATCTTCTTTGCTATGATTCAATTGATGCAATGAGAAAATAATAAATGTAAAAGAAAAATTTAAAAGTTAAGAGATTATAATAGAATAAAAAAATAAAATTATGCTTTGATATCAATAGATGCACTGAGAAAATAATACATAGAATAAAAAATTAAAATAAAAAGGTTGAGAGATTATAATAGAATAAAAAAATAAAAAGATTGAGAGATTATAATAAAATAAAAAATTAAAATTAAAATTGATAAAAAGTTATATCTTCTCTCTATGTTTGCAAGGGTGGACTGCAAGGAGTATACCCCAAGCTCGGGTCCACCTTGATCTTATCATCAAACTCTTCACTCAATAAACAATAACTCTCTACAATTCCTCTTATATACAAACTAAAAAATAACTCGCTACAAAGAAAGGACTTCTTCCTTTTAAATACAACTCACTTCGAAAAAGAGACATCTTCCTTTTGAATACAAATTAAAAGAATAATAAATATAAATAAAATAAAAAATAGAAAACTAAATTTTATCTCGATCAAGTCTAACATATCCTAGTCAACTTAACTATATACTAATTTCTATCCATATCCATCTTTTTTTAAAAAAATTAAACTTCTAATTCTACTATTTAAATTTCTACAACTAAAAAGGCAAAAATAACATTGAAAAAAACTAAAAAATAAAAAATAAATCTGGTGGAATTAGACTTTCACGGCATCACAAGAATTCTAAGCACCAAAATTGCAGTATACAACGGTGTGCCCTACCTCAATAGTATAAGGTTGACACCTTATACAACCTCACCCAGTTCAATTATTTAAAACAGTGTGAATAGTAATGGTAATGAATAATTTCAAGAAGAATATAAAATTACAAATAAAATTATTTTAAGAAAAAATAAAATTTGCAAATTCCAAAAAATAAGCTAGTTTAATATTTCGTAATGAAAAGGTTGTTATTTTTCGTAAGTTTAAAGAAATTCAGAATCTCTTTTTTCAAATCATAACTTTGGTTTTATAGCAAGAGTTTCCTTAAAGGTTATTGCTTTAATGCTTTCAATTGAGTATATTTACAAACTCCATAATAATTCCTAAAAAAAAAAGTGACATTTCTAATTTCTTCCTTGGCTCTTTGTTAACCCTTAATTCCTCAAAAAAAAAAATGACATTTCTAATTTCTTCCTTGGCTCTTTGTTAACCCTTAATTATGAGCACACCGTTCGATCTTATCATCTTATTTATCCGGAAACCAAATCATCATCATCACCAGGCCTTTATTAAGGTCTGGTTACATGAATCCTGAAACCAAATAAAAAATTCAAAAATAATATGAGAGAAAAAGGGAGAAGCCTGCATAATTGTTTTATGGACCCGGTTTCTATGCGGCCAAGCCTGCATAAGTAGAAATGTGGGGTTTTTAATAACTCTGTTTTTGAGATGGGTTTTAAGACTTAATTTTAAAAGACATATAATCTCTAACATGGAGATCATGAATTTGAAAAAATAAATAAATTTTAAAAATTAAAAATAATAATTATAGTAAAAAAAACATTAGGACAGTTAGTTTTTATTGTTTTTAGATAGAACACCAACTTGCATCCATTTTTAAAATAAATGCTTTATACTTTCCTGACTGCATACGCAGAAATGAGGTCCACCCAGCATAAAACAATTTTCCTTGTTTTATAGGAAGTCGCTGTATCTTCAAGGTCCCAATGTCCCACATCCAATGCCTACATACAAGAACCCTTCAAAATCCTCATTAAGCAAAAGCCGAAAACCAAAAAAAAGAAAAAAGAAAAACTTGATAAATGAATGCTTCAATCCTCATTCAGCAAAACCAAAGAAAAAAGATAAAAGGACTTGGTAAAAAACCCGTGAAAAAAAGATAAAAAAAGCTTGCAGGAAAAAAGACAGAAAGACTAATTGTTTCAAACTTCAGATCGATGGTATCAAAATCCCCATTTAGCAAAGCCCCAACTCACCCTTGGCATCATCCAATGCCTACATACAAGAACCCATCAAAATCCTCATTAACCAAAAGCCAAAAACCAAAAAAGAAAAAGAAAAAGGAAAAACTTGATAAATGAATGCTTCAATCCTCATTCAGCAAAACCTAAGAAGAAAGATAAAAGGACTTAGTAAAAAACCCATGAAAAATGATAAAAGAGCTTGCAGGAAAAAAAACAGAAAGACTTGTTAAATAAATGTTTCAAAGTTCAGATCGATGTATCACAATCCCCATTCAGCAAAACCCAAGAAGAAAGACAAAAAAAAACTTGGTAAATGATTGCTCTTATGAAAATACTCATCACGGTGATTTTAAAGTGGAGTCTTTTCCTAATTAGTCTCTTCACCGGAGGGAGTACTCTGGGCTTGCTTTTCATTGTATTTACCATAGATATTGTTCCTAATACGAACTTCAAAGATGAAAAGGAAAATTATGAAAAGAATAGATATACCTGATGGCCCACATTAATAGCAATATGCACGTCAATCATGTAAAGAAAGGTGATTCTATCTCGAGTGAGGCCAAGCCTGAAAGTGTGAGCGGGACGATATTCCTTTCTAGCCGAGGCCTTCAAACACAAGGGAAAAGAAAAAAAACCAAGAAACTTTTAGGCGTTGTAAATCTAAACGTAAATAGACTCAACTTTGTTAATGAATTTTTTTTGTGGTTGTTTTGATAATGAAATTAATAGATAGTAATAATAATAATATAATATAATATAATACAAGAAGTATCAATGCCTTAGTTACCATTGCTTCTTCTTAAGCACCAGCTAGCTTCACAACCAGGTATCGGGCCTTCATCCAAAGGTAAAGACGTAAAAGACCTTTGTCTCTTGAGAGTACGCAGAGGCAACAGGGATCGGTCTCGAGCCGAAGAATAGAATTAGAGGTCCTCAAGATATTTCCCGTGGCATATGTTTTCCAGTCCGTGATTCTGATTCCGCCGTAGCAGGGAAGGGCGGGCGCATAGAAGTCAGGGGTCCTCGTGGCTGAAGGAATGAACGTGAAAATCTATCAACTTGTCGTAGGCACCAAATGGTAGGATTTGCTCTTCTTTGTACTCCTCTGCCTTCTGTTATGACATCGCCTCTCCCATATAATGGGCTCGATTTGCACCTTCTCGATTATCGGCCATTGAGGAATTGTTGCAGGAACAAACAAAGAAGAATAACTCAAGAGAGGGATTAAATTTTGGTGGAAATTTTTTTTTAATGAATTTTATGATTGCAAAAAATATATAATCGAGTTGGTCCCTATAAATAGACCATTGCACGTAAATATGAAATAAATAGCGACTCAAATATCAAAATTATTATAATAGTTATTTAATGATATTTAGGTTTGTTACTTTTATTATTTTATTACGGAAAAAGTTTCTATACTTCCCCCACAGCATAGAAGATCTATGTTTCCCCTACTATCCAGCCGTCCAATTTTGATCAAGAGAGTTACTAACCGTTTGATCTTAGATCCGACGTCTCAAAGTATTTTATTTTTAGTTTTTTTTATATAAATTGTACGAATATGAAATTTGGTACGTGCCATCTTCTTATTGGGGCGCACCTATTAAAAAGATTAAAAATATTTTTTCTATAAAATATAATGACCAAAATACCCCTTGAAACTTTCAGGGTATTTTGATTATTTTATTTTATTGAACTTTATATATATATATATATATATATATATATACACTAGTGCGAGTTTTACAGAGGATTAGACGTCCAAAATTTGCTATTAAAATAGTTTATAGGAAAAAAATAAAAAATAAAATAGTGTAGAGATGTGCCATAGTGATTGGGGCAATCTTAGCCCTCCATTCAGATTGGACGGTTGGATAAGGGGAAGTATATAAGTTTTATGTTGTAGGGGAAAGATAGAAAGCTTGCCCTTTTATTATGGGTTTATTAATAATGTTCTGATGGGTCCTTTAAAAGCTGTTTACTACCTAAAAATATATTGTCTGTGAAATATATTACTGGACTGCATAATACATTACTTGCAAATGGATTGTTACTGTTTGGGTAGTATTTAGATGCAACCTGAAAAATACATTGCTATTGTTATTTAGGTAGTATTTGTTGGGTTTATGTGGCCTTTAAAGGCCTTATGAGTGTGTATTGAAATACTTTGAATATAGTGAAACATAAACTCAGCGGGAGTGTGGTCCATCGAGAACCATACTAAGCGAATGATGTTTGTTTATACCA